CGATTCAATTCATCAAATTGCAATAAACAGATTTGTTTTGCTTTTATATGTATGTATATTTTATATCATCTTTTGTTATGTATTTTGTTAATGGTCAATTAAGAGCTGTTGCCTGTTTGCTTAAGTCCCCTTTCGCTAGCTTAGAACTCGGCAGTTGCAGTTGCTTTTGAAAGTTGAATTTTTGGTATTTTGCGAGGAAAAACCCGGCCATAAATGGCCATATCAAGCATCTGCTCTGGTTTCGTAGATATATTTAAATTTATGAGCGTTAAGAGCCGTCGCTTCTGCGCTTGCCTTCTGACCTTTAATTGAACTGGACTCAGCGAGAGTAGCCTGACACTTTGGCCTTGCCTCTTGTCAGCCGAATCGCGTATTACGCTCTGACTATCTAAATATGTGATTTGACATGCGTCGGCCTTATCACTTATGATGGATCGACTCGCAGCAGAGTCCATCCAGTGACAATGACATGCAGTTCCAGTATTCGCCAAAAACTGGGTCAACGCTAAAAAGTCAGTTTCAATTTGTTGTGAGGATGCTTAAAATACGTTTTTTATGATCTATCAATCAAGGCACATTCATATTTATTTGTCTTTAAATGTCAGCTAAATCATCAACTTGGACAACTATATAAACTTAAGACCTTCCGAGCTTTGATATCTTTAATTTATTATGCACATTCTTTTGAAAGTAAGCGTTGTAAAAAGAATAAGCTAGAGGACAAAATATAAAGGTATTTGGTCTGAAACAGGAAATTATTCGACAACCTTGAATATAGCTTGACTTTCATTCACTAACAAATTTTATCAAAATATTTTTATGCAAATATTTGATTTTTATTAGTTACTTTAAAGAGGAAATAAAATGTTGTTAAATGAAATAAAATATTTTTGTATTTATTATAGATAATATTTTATAAAAACTATTATTTTGTTTATAAAAAATTTACCATTCAAATTTTTTACAATCCTCGAAGTTTACAGTAATTTTGGCTCTTCGAATACGTTGTTAAATATGCATATTGCATTTTTATAAGTTTATTATAAATTTGATAAATGTGAGCAGCTTTATGATCTTTCAAATTTAAATAAAATGTATAACAAACATGAATTAAAAAAATATTATGCGTTTTGATCTAAAGTTTGGAAAGAAGAAAATTAAAGTTGGTTTACCTTAACCCAACAAGTTTTGTTGTCATGAATTAGAAAAGAACCATTTAAATTATTTTATACAATTTTATTTCTTAAAACATTTTTACATCATTTGTTTTTTACATATATATTTCATTTCATTGTACGTCGAAACCTTTTACTGATAAACAACAGCAGCTAAATTGTCTATAAACTTTTGTAATGCTTTTATAAACAATTAGCTGGAATTTATCCTAAGCTGTAAGTTCAAACATAACAATGCTTCGTTTGATGGTTTTTGGGAAATAATTTACAAAAGGCTTTTGTTGTTCTTCCTTAGGGGGCGTGGTGTGTGTGTGTTTGTTTTGTTTTTACTTAAGATCTAATAGAGTGGCAGGGTGGAAGTTCTACTAGAACCTCTTGGAAATTATTTTGGGGGGAGCGAAGAGACCGTGTGTGAGTGTTATTTTGTTATTTCATGTTTTCTTTTCTCTTCATTTGGATAGAATTAAAAAATGTTGCTAAATTTAATGCGGTTCATATTTTTGTGGTAAGTCCTTGGCCTAGCCCCGAATAGAATCCGCAACCGCTCTACTTGTGGTAGCCGGAGTGATCGGCGTAAACGCTGGCGCCGAGACCGCTGCCTGGGCCATAGCCGGTGATGGGGTATTTGCTGATGGCATAGGTGGGTGCGTGCTTCACGACGGAGTGCGAGACATGGGGCACCTTCACGTAGACGGGGTAGGGACGATCGACGGGCACATGGACGGGCACCTTCTGGATCTTCTCGACGTAGACGGGGTATGGCTTCTCTACGGGCACGGGGTAGGGCTTGGGCACCTCAACGGGCACTGGACGATCGACGGGCACATGGATGGGCACCTTCTCGTGACGGATAACCTCGTAGGGCTGTGGCACTGGGACGGGCACCTTCACGTACTCCTTGACGGGAACGGCGACCTTACGGATCACCTCATAGGGCTGTGGCACGGGCACCTTAACCTCAACGGGCACGCGTTTCTCGTGCACAACGGGGTAGGGACGATCAACATGAACGGGCACGGGCACACCCTTGGTCACAACGATGGTCTTCTGGACCTCAGCCTGTTTGCTGATCACATAGGGAGCGGGCACGGCATGCGCTTGAACGGCAACAGCGGGTGCGCTGTGGCCATAAGAGATACCGCCAGCGCTGGGTCCCACAGCAATGGCAGCTGGACCCGAGTGTCCAATGGAGCTGATGCCATAGCTGCCGCCACTGACGAGGGAGCCCTGACCGATGTGGCCAACATCCAGACCAGCATGACCGTAGCCATAGCCCAGATCGAGCAGGCCGCGTTTGTCCAGCTTCTTCTCCAATGGCACCTCATCGGTGGCACAAGCGGAAGCCACCAGCAGAGCGGCTAAGCAGAACTAAAATAGAGTGTAAATAATGGCGAATGATCACTAAAAGGCTAAGTAGAGCACAATAACAAAGTTCAGTAAATGTTGGCCAAGTGAAACGGCTCGCCTTCAAAGTCAAGTGAAAATAACATTCAATTGTAATTCGCAAGTTGTTCTAGTATATCAAAATTAAACTGAAATTCAATTGTAATTCGCAACTTGTTCTAGTTGTTGACATTATTATGCAATGACCGGGCCGACTTGTGTTAGGTAATCAGATTAGAAAGTTATGCGATATATATGACGCCCACTATTTGGCCATAGTTTGTGCGGCGACAGTAGTTCGCTTTCAAATGGTCAAGTGAAAAGCGTGTGTGCGTTGCATGCGTAATGCGAGCATGACAAAATGCGCGGGACAAGAAAATCAGATATGTGTATGGATATATATTTACACATACGTCACGCATGCGCGCAGTCGCAAACCATATGCATTTACCGCTAAGTTGTGTCTGTGCGGTCATCGTTTATTATTTGTTAGCTCAGTTTGATTGCAGTGGCCAATAGCGAAATGGAAAACAATTTCGCATTATGAGCATTTATCGTTTGTGTGATTAGCTGCATTTGTTTCAAGTTGAAGTTTGTCATTTAGCGCTGGTGTTTTGGCCAACATATGTGAGATTGCGCAATTTGTAAACAGGAAGTCAATGAAACGGAGTTGCGGTCAAGCACCCAGAGGCACAGACAGACAGAGCTCATAAATATGATCATATTTAGCACTGTTAGCGCTCTAATCTATGTGGGAGTTGACTTCAAGGGTTGGATAAACAATGCCACGATTCTCACATTGAAATGAATTACTTGGAATTGAAACAATTCTTTTTCTTCCATAATTCTGAACCACATTATTTGCACATAATTGTTAGAATAAAATGTATGTGAGTGTGTACTTACGAATACTTTCATTGTGAAGTGTGTTGTGTCTCGCCAAGGCTGCAAATAGATAATAGAAAATAATACGTATTAATTAATAATTCTATTAAAAGTTTAAATAAAACTTCAGACACTTTGCAAATATTTTCAAAATTAATTTGTCTAATTGTTTTTTTAATATGAATTTTACTTGAGCACATTTTGGAAAGAAAACTTGAAACTTTGCATATTTTCAAAAAATTAATAAATTGAACACAAATAACTGGCGGTAAAATAACAACACTTACGAGCAACGCTTGAAAAACAGTGTTGTAAGGACTTGTAGAATCACACACGATTCCAAACCTTTGACTGGATGCTGTCTGTGGTCAGTGGCGCACTTTTATACCCCCAAAGAGTTTTTGTGTCAAAACGAAACTGAAAACGCGCCAAGCTCCAAGCGCCAAGTCCGTCATAAGCAAAAGAGCTTTTTGTGGCAGAGAGCGCGTGCGCGCCACGCTCTCTCTTTCTCTATTTTGCTCAAAAAGCTCGCTTCAGCTGCTGTGCATTGGTATTGGTTAGAGTTTTGCGCTTGTCTGCGTGGAGGCTCGGAAAGTTTTGCAACGGAAGCGCCTACTACAACCAAAACGCCGCACCACTACCACCAAGCGGCTGCTGTGCTAGTATTGGTTGCAGACTTCGAGACTTTTCAAAACTGATCAACGCCTTAGGGGCGTCATTAAAAAATATAATAAAATAAAGAAAAAAAAAAAAAAAAAAAAAAAAAAAAAAAAAAAAAAAAAAAACAAATAAATAAATAAATAAATCTGCGTCAAGCATTAATTACTCCAGGTAGAGCGTTTTATCTCTTTTTTTATTCTAAATTTATTCTGGGGAACTCCAAAGAAATTCCTTATATTTTAGTTTAGATCTTTTTTTTTAATATATACAAAAAAGGCAATGTTCTAAACTTATTTTTTGTTCTCTAAATCTCTGCCTCTTACGGGTTTTTTTGTATTTTATTTGTGAGTAGCAAACCTGCTCTACCACTGCACTCAAGCTGGTAAAAACCCAAAAAAAAAAAAAAAATTAAGGAACAAACAAAATTGTCATACAAAATCAAATTGTTTGTTTTTTTTTTCCATTCAACCAGTTAATTGATTGCCATAAATATTTATAATATTATACATCATTTGAATTTCATAGATTCCAGAACGATGTTCTAATAACTATAATAATACAAATCAATTGGATTGCTTTGCAACATTTTCCCACATAACTCATCGTACTTTGATGCGTGAAACTCTGCATTGCATAACCGTTGACACAGACGGCAGCGGCAAGGTCTTTCACTATCTTCAATATCGCTTTTTTACAGCTCAATCAGTACATTTTTAATGCACTTAAAAAAATAAAGTGAGCATCGAAAGAAATAAAATTTCTTTAAAATAAATGACTTATAAAATAATAAATAATATAAAACATATGCAAAATATTGTATTAAACAAAGTTGATGAATTTTTTACAATTTAAAAAAAAATGTACTTTATAATATTAAAAATTAAATTAAAATCTTGTAAAGTATATATTTGAATATTCGGATAATTTACTAATCTATATTCTAAATATTAAATTTTACAATAGATTTCTTATAGTCATACTTTATTTATTAATTTATACATACATTATTTATTTTTTTAAATTTCATATTTTTTATATTATATTTAATAATTTGTTTATTTTATTATAATTATTATTTGAACTTTTATTTTTTATTTTATATATTTAATATTATATAAATATTTTTTTTTTTTAATTTTAGATATATTAACATGCAATATTTTAATAAAAAATTAAAAAAAAATAGTTGAGAGTTAACATTAAAAACATTTAAAATTAAAAAGTTATTAAGTTTGCTATAATAAAATAAGATGAATTCATTTCTCGCAGTATAGCTGTATTAGGTATTTTCCTCACACAATCAAATTGTAAGCGGAAGCTGCAAATTGGCATGTTTGTCGGATATGTGATAAGGCATAAGAGCTAGCGGCCTGTCAGCTATGATGTTTGCTAGGGCGCACGCACTTTTGGGGAAGTCTTGGGCTGTCGTCATGGTATGTGGCAATTGCGGCAGTTGCAACTGCAGCTGAAACTGCAATAGCAATAGCAGCACATAATCATTGTGGCAGCTGAGATAGAGTGAGAGATCGTGTTTCTAATTTGAATTACGCTGTTGCAATGCGGCTGGCTGACAGACAGAGCCGGCATCCAGCTTGGCCAGAGAAACAGAGCTTTAAGTAGCTGCTAAAGTTGATTGGCAGTGGAATTTGCATAGAGGGGCGGGACGAGGGGGTGGGGCGAGGATTGGTTCGGGTGGGCGTTGCAGTGGCAGGGGATGGTACGGCAATGCGTGCCGCAAAAGTGAAAGGCCTTTATGGGTCGCACAAAATGGGATTATGTATCAGAGATGCATTGCTGCGATTTGGCAATTGCTGTCATAATTATTTCCCCAGCGGAGAAGAAAACCAGTTATACCCCATTAGATATCTATCTGGTGCGCAAATAAACATGGATTTGCATTTTCTATTGTCTATTGAAATGTATTAATAAAATCAAATACAATTTTAGAACTAAAAACGAAAACAAGTAGATCTATTCATGATTCGGATTCAGAATGTTATTTTTATTTTGCTTATTGACCTTGTTGGGCGTATATTAAACAACTTTCCGAAAAACGTCATGGTTTAATTTGAAGTGGAAGACTCGATGATATTTACGTTTTGAATATGAAATGAATGAAATCAAGTTGTAGCTGAACTGATTTGTAATTAATCGACACGAGTTTAAAGCAAGTTAGCTGAAAAGCTTTGCCTGAAAACCGAAATTTTAATTGCTTATCGAAATCAATTCCTTAAACCATATATATATATATATAAATATTCGTAACTATTTCAATGGCTATCAAATCGGAGATGGCATCTGTTCCATCAGAACAGAACTACGGAAGTCGAATTTTGATCAACTTATTTAAAATAAAATATTTTAACTTGAAGTGGTTATGATTTCGTGTTCTCCGTGGGCTGGTCGCTTTACGTATTCAAAACGCAACTTTACATTTTTTTTTTAATTTTTACATATGGCATTTTATAGCATTGTAATCAAATACACATTTCAAGAACGAAAATTCCAAGTTATAAAATACATTTACAATATTTGGCTTAACTAGTAACTAGTTTTAGTTTTTATGGCTCTAGCTTGTGTCATTTTATTACAAGAGGCTTTTGTTCCTTGTTTGGACTAGTTCAATTAACTTAAGCTGTAACCTGAATGTTTTCATTTAATTTATTTTGTCTAGTGAGTAGTCTGCCATCTTATACATATATTTACATTTAGACTTGTTTAACATAATAAATAAATTGCATACCAATTTTTAATTCATTTAAAGAAAGTTTATGTAACTCTGCAATATCAGACTCTTATTTCAGACTTTTTATTCATTTTATATTATCACCCTAAACAATTTGTAGGAACCTTTTTTTTTTGCATTTTATATCATTGTTATCTTTAAAAACAAGACTATTCTGGCTTGAGCTTATCTTGTATTATCTCAAATCTGTTTATATTAATTTACCTACTCAATTTCCGGTTCATCAAACTTTAGTTTGTTCGATCGCACTAAGCTATAAAGATTTATCTTTATCAAGGTCAATCTAATCGTGCTTGGTTTATCTCTGTGTTGTTTTACTTAATTTTGGTTCTTTTATTTATTAAAGTTTTATTAAAGTTCTTTCTTTTTTACTTACCCCAACTAAAAAAGAAATAATAATAATATTAATAATTATACAATTTGGTGACATATCTGTAACTGGCTATGATGCTGATGCTATTCACATCAATTTTCACTCTATAATTCTTATTCATTTATTTCTGAGTATTCCTCTTCTGGTGATATTTTGTCAAACACAGGTTCAGTTAGTTCTTGAGTGCCTGCGATTTTTGGCTCATGTTCATTATACTCATTTGTATTTGTTAGCTTTCACATTAAAAACTAGCTAAAAAACATCATTAAAGTTTATGTTTTCTTATATGAGTGCATATATACATAGGTCAACGTTATTATTATTACTATTGCAATAACAATCGGTCCTTTTTTATTTCAGTTTAATTTTTACATAAGTTTCCATCCCATTTAGTTCTGAGCTCCTATGCTTAAAGCCATATGGAATAATCGATTATGATGATTCCTGTTTTAAGCTGCTCTGATGGCATTCGGCTCAGGCTAAAACGTAGTGGTCAACTTTTACTTTTGCAAAATGTGTCGTTTTCTATGTTCGACCAGATGGAACCAAGCCAAAAGCCAACTCAAGCCGAGCAGCCAACAAACAGCAACCAGTGCAGCTGCCCACAACAGAAACAGCAACAGCAACAACAAACGACAAGCGTTACGATTCTGTCAGACAACGCAGCCAACAGATGCGAGTTACAATTGAGAGATGCCAGCAGCAGCAGCAGCAGTCGGTGAGCTGAGCGAGCGGGCGGAGGTGCTGCTTGGTGGTTTTCGGCTCTGTGTTAGTTGGCATGCGACTTGGGCGCTTTGTTGCATGCGCTACATATTGCAACATAAAAGCCAGGCGACTGCTCGTTACAGCCACTCCCCTTCGGCTGGCTTGCGGCCCCGCTTCGCCTCTCTCTCTCTCTCTGTGCACTGCTTACTCCACCGTTTGTCGCACCCGCAGTTGCAGTCGCAGTTGCCATCGCAGTTGCAGTTGCAGTTGCAGTTTTTGTGCTTCGCATTTCGGATTCTCATGTTTGGCATCGCCATAAATTGTGGTCAACCGATGCAGCCGATGCGACGTAATTCATTGATTATAACGACAACAATAACTGCAATGCAATATAGTATACCCTCACCTCTCCTACTCCCTCTGCTGCTCCACCTCCTGGCTAGCATTTGTTACCTGCTGATTTATAGCCAATTGTCTCTCTCTCCCTCCCTCTCTCTCATTCTCTCTGTTTATTTGTTTGTCTTTGGCTTTGCAAGGCCCAGCCACTTGATCAGTCGCCGCTTGGTCTTGTTTGTAATCCAATATGCGAGAAGGCCTCCCAAAAATTAGCTAATATAATTATGGGTTATTACAACTGTCAGGCCACAAGTGGGGACAGCTGCCACACGATCAGCTTCTATATGCGGCAGGCCCACTCTTTGTCTTTGGTTTTCGGATTGTTTTTTTTTTTTTTTTTGTATTTTTTATTATTATTGCCTGCAACTGCCATGCGATAATTCACACAATTGTGCTACCGTTGCGCTCTTATATGGTGCATATACTCAGATCGTCCGTGCGGATTGCAGCTAACAGACAACACGCTTACCAAATAGTCTTGAGACCATTTGACAAACGTCGCTCTGTGGCAAAAAAAAACTTTAAGATTGTCGTAGATTGTATGGCTTAGAGAATTGCAAATGAATAAATTTAGATTCACGAAAATAATGAAAAGTAGACACGAAATGCCATAACACATGCATAACAGTTAGGAGTAATCAAGAATGGAATTGTTCGAATTTCGGAATTGAATTGTTATTCAATTAGAGTTTAAAGAAGGGAAATATACTTTGAATTTGGTATTTATATATGGAAATTTATATTGACTCTTATTAAGCAAATGAGATATTAAGTGAATGCATATTCGCAGCTATTCAATTATATTAATTTACTGTATCGAAAGCATTCGTTTCGAATCATTCGATGTCAGCTTTTGCACGATTTTCCCTTCACTCGAATGCGCGAGAATCAGGAAATATATGTCGTGCGATTCTACGCACTTGTAGCGCCATCCATAACCCTTTATTTTGATTTCGACTTTCCCATATGTCTTAATTATACACAACACAAGTTTTCAATTTATTTTAATTTTATTTTAAATCTATGCGCATTCGTAAATTTTAATAGCATTTTAGTCTGCCCAGTCAATAGCCAAGTCGAGCAGATGAAAAGAGAAAAAAATATATATACATATATATTTAAAAAAAAAAAAACTGGTTGCTTGTCGGAAATCGCTTAAGTTTTTCACTTGATATGTCAAAATGCCAAAATGTTGCACCGCTCCACGATCGATCGGGCCAGCCTATATAAATATATATGCATATGTCTATATGTGTATGTGTGTATGTGTTTGGCCACGCATTAAGCATACGCCCTGCTGGCCATTTGCGAGCGCATTTCGTGGCCAGCCGCGAATCATTTAAGCGCCATAGGCGTGCAAACCAAAGCCAACAACGACAACAAGAGTTACAACAATAATAAAAAACCCGCTAAAAGCAATAACAACAACAAATGCAATGACTGCATTGAGGCTGAAAAAAAAAAATGGAGCACAGCTTCCTTTAGACAACGTTTTATAGTATTTTGGTTTTTATGCGCTCAACCTATTGATTATCGATTAGATGGGGTATATTGATTGAGAGCAGTAATTAGAGAGTATCTTTGATATCCACTGAGCATATATGTTCCTTAAGTTAAACAACAGGCAATCTAGAAAAGTCCGTTTGCTGCTTAAGCTAATGACTCCAACTAGGAAATTTCATATAAATTAGAAGCAGAACAAGTTTCGCTCATTTAATCAAAGTCTCCGCTATTTCCTTAATACACTCGAACTAAATAAGTTGAGAGCTTTTGCTCTGAACATCATATGAAGAATGTTAAGCTCTACTGCTCAAGCTAATGTGAGGTCAACCATTCTGGGTATTCGCTAGTCGAGCATACCCGCCTAGAGCACTTTTACTAGTTTTGTTTGATTTGGTCGCCGTTTTGGCCGTTTAGAAACATTGCGGATGCAGTCGCAGACAAGAAGTTGGGGCCGGTTTCTGTCTTGGCCATAAATAGAGCCAAAGTTGTCGTTGTTGTTGTTGTTGCTGTTGTTGCTGTTCGATGCGGTGCGTTGCACAATGCACAGCCAGCTCGAATGCACTTTCAGTTTCGCATTTCGCATTCGATGTCCCAGCTGTGTCATAAAATCATTGCCAGACATTTGATTCTACACTTAATTATATCATTAGCCATAGTTATGGCTAACGCTGTTGGTATTGTTGTGCCAGATCCGTTTGGCTGGCTAATTAGCATTTAATTTGAGTGCCCAAGACGTCGACAGTTTGCTCTGAAATCCGTGCCAAGATCCGTGCGCATAAATCAATAATATTTCAATCGCATTCTCAACAAAACAACAATCAACAAAAAAATAAAATGAAATAGAATTAAAACCGAGTTGAATTCATGTTCCACAATGCGCCGAAGGCAGTCAACATATGCATTAAAAAAAAATAAATAAATAAATACATGAAAAAAAAAAAAAAATACTAAGCAACGCTCGAACTTGATCCAATTCGCTCCTAAAGTGCAATACCAGTTGCTAATGCTCAACTAAGTCAATTATTTCATACGATCTATAATCACATATGACTAATGCTGCATATGGCGCAATATAATCGACTCTCAAGCGAGTTGAGCTCTAGGAATTGATTTAGATATTTATGCATACACATATATTTATTTTAAATAAATTTGATCGTATGATGAGGCGTCATGTATTGAAAGAAAACCCGTTCGATATGTCATAAAATCTGAATATCAATTCCAATCTGCTCAGTGTTTATTATTATTTATGTTAAATATTCTGCTTAGAGTTTTTCGAAACAACAACTAGATTAATTTATTTTATTATATTATTGTTACTATACTATTACCATACTTTATTTATTGTGTTATTAATATTCAATGAACTAATTTTGTATTGTTTGAATAGTTGTTATGGTTTATATATTATTATATTTATTATATTGTTTTTGCCATTTTTTTCACACTGCTTTGCTTAAGA